GGCGCGGGGTGCACGGCGCGGCCGGGACTGGGGGAGGGAGGTGGACACACTCCTAGCGCCGGCAATTGCAGCCCGTGCACACGCGAGAGCAGGGGAATGCAGCGTGTGCAGACTCCTAGGACAGGTAATTGCAGCGTGCACACTCCAGAGCAGGGATTGCTGGGAGTGCACACTCCTGGGGCAGGTACCTGCAGCGTGTGCACACCCAAGGGCAGGGCAATGCAGCGGGCACACCCGAGAGCAGGGAATGCAGAGAGGCCGGCAATTGCAGCCCGTGCACACGCGAGAGCAGGGGAATGCAGCGTGTGCAGACTCCTAGGACAGGTAATTGCAGCGTGCACACTCCAGAGCAGGGATTGCTGGGAGTGCACACTCCTGGGGCAGGTACCTGCAGCGTGTGCACACCCAAGGGCAGGGCAATGCAGCGGGCACACCCGAGAGCAGGGAATGCAGAGAGTGCACACCTAAGGGCAGAGCAATGCAGTACGTGCAAACCCGAGGGAAGGGCAATGCAGCGTGTGCACACCCAAGAGCAGGGCAATGCAGTGTGTGCACACCGCATGGAATGCAAGCACAGAACGAGTGTACTTGGGTGCGCCCAAGGGATCCTGGGCTGGCCTGCACATTCAAGTGCAAGGAATTCAGAACCAGCACAGTGAGTGGACTGTACACACACCCAAGGACAAAGAAGTTTGGAGAGGAAAGGATGGTGGAATGGTGTGTATACACACAAATGCAGGGAGCTGTGTGTGTGTGTGTGTGTGTGTGCGCGCGCAGACTTAAAGACGGGTGAGTTAAGGGGGTGTTTGTGTGAACACCCAAAAGCAGGGAGTTCAGAGAGAATAGGAGGTGTACATGCAGGAGTTTAGAGTGTCAGGGTGTGTGTGCGTCTGTGTGTGTAAGAGAGTTCAGAGAGTGTGTGTGTGTGTGTGTGTGTGTGTGTAGACACAAACACAAGTTATGTATGTTCATCCGTACCATTACAGGTGAGTTCACACTGCAAGTGTTCACGACAATGGAGGAGTTCAGATGGGGAGTGCAGTTGCCAATAACAATAGGCTAGGTTCAGAGGAGGTGTACACTTGCATATACAGGCAGTCCCCGGGTTACGTACAAGATAGGGACCGTAGGTTTGTTCTTAAGTTGAATTTGTATGTAAGTCGGAACTGGTACATATTGTAGGGGAAACTCTAGCCAAACATTTCTCCAGAGCTCAGTTTTATTCTCCCACACCTCACTTCCCTCAGTCCTTTATTCTCAAGCTGAGGTGTTTGCTGAGAAAAGCCGCTCCGCGTCTCCCTGGTCTGCTGGGGGGGGGGGGCGCTAGCTTCGCGTCTCTCTGGTCTGCTGGGGGGAAGCAGCTAGTGCGGGGTTGCCTCACCCCGTTTGTAAGTAGGGATCCGATGTAAGTCGGATCCGTGTAACCCGGGGACTGCCTGTACATTGAACATACAATATGTATAAAATAACTAATGAAAATGTGGATGTATATTTGTATTTCTGTAAATATTTGGGGGTGAGCATGTGAAAGTTGTGCCACTGGTGTGTAGCAGTGACATGAGGTGCCTCCTCTCTGTGTGAGCATTAATGCTCTTAGAGCTAGTGCTCACACTTTCCAGTTGGAGCCTTATAGTCTGTGTCCCATTCATCATCTTTAAACCTTTTGAGGACAAAGCATAATGCACTGTAAATAGACTAATATGACGGAAACAGAATGGTGCTGCTCAGAGATATGAATATTTTTTCTGTTATTTTTAAGAGTTATCATCGCATTTAGTCTTTTTCAAAAAATAGCAAATCTATCAGGAAAGCAGCTGAAGTTTCAGGTGGCCTCTGCAATTACCTGCTTTTTGAAATAGAGCATGGCATTTTATACAGCAAATTGATATATTTGAAACAGGGTTTTCAGAAAAGAAGGTCTTACTAAAGGCACTACACTGAGATGCAGGCAATTGCGTTCTAACGCTGATTTTGCCACAGAATTTCTGTGACTTGCCACTAGCCAGACTTTCCCCATCTATACAATTGAGATAACAGTGTTTCTCTACTTCACAGAAATCCTGTAAGGATAAATTATCAGTGCCTGTGGTATTATAGTGATGAGGGCTGTGATCAGGCCTATTAATATGCACTATACAAATGTTAATTCATCTTCACAAATAGGGAAACAAGCAATTTGCCAAGGCCATCAACAAGTTAATGACAGAGCTAGAAATAAAACATATACATTAACATAAGAACATAAGAACGGCCGTACTGCGACAGACCAAAGGTCCATTTAACCCAGTATCCTGTCTGCCGACAGTGGCCAGCACCAGGTGCCCCAGAAAGGGTGGACTGAAGACAATGATCAAGCGATTTGTCTCCTGCCATCCCTCTCCAGCCTCTGACAAACAAAAGCCAAGGACACCATTTTATCCCCTGGCTAATAGCCTTTTATGGACCTAACCTCCATGAAATTATCTAGTTTCTCTTAAACTCTATTATAGTCCTAGCCTTCACAGCCTCCTCTGGGAAGGAGTTCCACAGGTTGACAACACGCTGTGTGAAGAAGAACTTTCTTTTATTAGTTTTAAACCTGCTACCCATTAATTTCATTTGGTGTCCTCTAGTTCTTCTATTATGGGAACTAATAAATAACTTTTCTTTATCGGCCCTCTCCACACCACTCATGATTTTATAGACCTCTATCATATCCCCCCTCAGTCTCCTCTTTTCTAAACTGAAAGTCCCGTCGCTTTAACCTCTCTTCATATGGGACCCGTTCCAAACCCCTAATCATTCCTGGCTTTTAACTCCATGTTCAGTCCACAAGACCAGACTGTGTTTGAAAAGGCTAGAGGTATTTCTGATATGCTTTCTGAAGTACAACATGTACTTATTTTTTCCACTGGAGGAATAAGAATGCCAGGCCAAGGAACACTAGAGGCAGGTACGTTACAGGATTATAACACAAGGCAAGTCAAACTGATAGTGTTAACTAGTCATGTATGGTGGAAAACTTGTGCACTGTCTATATCAGGTCCCAAAAGAGTCTGATAGAGTGGATATGCAATGTACATAACCAGTGCACTAAAACATGCTAGGACAAATTCACGCCTAAATAATTAATGAAATAGGTAGCTCTTTTAGATCCCTCCCCTCCATTATATCAAATGGGCAATGCTTAGTCTAGTGAAGAAAAGATTGACGTTTGGGTCACAAACAGATTTGCTCTTGAGTCCAAGATCTGCTCCACGTAGAAGGGGTATCATCAGGGAGTCAACATGGTTCCCAGTTCAGAGGTATGAATTAGACCTTACAATGAGAGGTGGAAAGTATGTAGGTGGGAGAGCATCACCTATCAATATAGTGACAGCGTGAACAGCTCTTAAGTCAATGTAATGTACATCGTTCGGGGGTGTCTTCCTCACACCCCGAGAAACATAAGTTACATGGACTTCAGCAGTAGTGTAGACCAGACCTCAGAGCAGATCTCTACCAACCCACTCCTTTCCCCAGCATACCCCCTTCACCAGAGCATGTGGAGTGGTTGGCACTGACTGGACCAATTTTTGGGGGGTTAGGCCACCTGAGAGCTTTCCCATGTGGGCTTCCCAGCTGGTACCCTATGGTCATAGTCCAGGTAGCACAAGAACTGGCCCATATATATGTATGTATGTAACTCCCTTGGGGTTTAGAGAGCATGACCCCTTTAAAACTTTGTCCTGAGGCAGAGGAAGTCCTGGTTGTCCCAGGGGCATAGAGAGGTGAGTCTGACAGGAAAGGTGTGTCTGTAGTTCCAGATAAGAGATCTGCAGTGAGCCGACCTTCACATAATGAAACAGCCTCCAAGTCGGCAGGCAGGAACTAACGCTATAACAGGCATTCCAGCAACCCTGAGCCTCAGCAGCCCCATGTCACAAGGGGAAAACCTAATTGACCATTCTCCAAATGCAGAAGCGGTTCAACGTCACGTCACAACAGCAGCATAAAACAGTACAGCAAATGCAGGTCTGCTGTAGATTTAGTATGTTGTTTAATAAAAAGGATCTGTAAGTACTGAGGTTGCCTCTTCCTTTCTCCTCTCTTGATTTTTACTCACGTTTCTTCTTTTCTACTTTTTCTCTCTCTTATGAACATTACGGCACGGTGGGATTAAGGTCAGAGAGAGGAGTAATGCACCAGCCCAAAGTATGGAACACAATCAATGAGCATGCTACAGTTATTATTACAGTGGCAGAGCTGCAGTGAACACTTTTGTTAAGGCTTCAGAATAGTTTTGTTTACAATCCCCCTGCCCTCCTTTCCACCCTCTATTTTCACATACTTGAAAGTATCTGAAATCTTCCTCTTTTTGGGTGAACTTTATCTTTGGCTTCCATCCAAAAGATTAATTTGTTTTTTTTCCCTTTGGGGAAGTGTGAATAAAAGTCATTCACAGTCCTTCTTGATATATGGTGCATAAAACACATACCTGCAATATCCCACTGTAAAATTTATTGCCGCACTTTGTCCACCAGGTCATTCAAAAACCTGCTGTACCCTGAAACGGTCCTCAGTGAAGAGATCTTTGACCTAGGTTAATAAAAAGTAAAGTTAAACAAAATGTCTTTTAAAAAAAGGTGTT